TTTATTTATTTGACAGAGAGAGACACAGCGAGAGAGGGAACACAAGCAGGGCGAGTGGGAGAGGGAGAAGCAGGCTTCCCGCCGAGCAGGGAGCCTGATGCGGGGTTTGATGTGGGGTTTGATGTGGGGTTTGATGTGGGGCTCGATCCCAGGACCCCGGGATCATGACCTGAGTGGAAGGCAGACGCTTAACGACTGAGCCACCCAGGTGCCCCTCTTTCAGAATGTTTTCAGATGTTCCTGGAGGCAGCAGATTCTCTTATCTGTAGAGATTGCAAAGCTCTGACCCTGTTTAGATGCATTTGTTTTGATCTTGTGGTTATATTAGTTCTTTCTTTTGGAAACTAGGTCTTTTTGTAGTAGTGATTATTTTTTCTGTACTTATCAGTATGAAGAGGGAAATATACTTGCTTACAGTGCCCCACGTTTAACAGAAAAAGTGAGTATGCCTATTGCATTTTTATGTGTCAGATTTTGTGGAGAGTAAATAAGTATGTGTAAGCTTAGTCCCTTTGGGCTACTCTTTGTATGTCTTGATATTAAACCGTTGGGAAATCATTTGACATTTTTACTTGGGTCCTTTACCATATTGAATTGTCAGCTGAAAATAATGGAACCATTGTTCAAAATAAAATATTATGGAAAAGAAAGTTGACTACCTTGAGAAAATATCCAAAAAAGTGATGGCTTTACTAACCTATGTGTGCTTATGACAAAGAATGGAAGTTACTTTGGACTGATGTAATAAATAGTTGAACACGAGTGGCTCCTTTTTAGTCTACCCAGCTTTCAGAGTAACACAACACAATCTGGGTATTTAGATGTTTCAGAGCCAGTAGAAAGGCGGTGAGGCAGGTGTTGGGGGAAACCATTTATCTTGCCTGCTTGCCTGGAGCGGTCGCATCTGTGGTGGACCTCGGGTCCTGTCTCCTGCAGCAACTTCTGCATTTGACACCCATGTAATCTGCCCTCAGTGAGCACCTTATGGTGTTTCTTCTGCTTCCTTTCTTCACTCTTGGTACGATTTACAGAAATTTATTTTTAAGAGGGCATGCCAAAAAAAAAGAAAAAAAAGATGAGATGGATGAATACAAAGAGAGATTATTCTGTCTGCAAACTCTTTCTCATAAATCAAAGTTATCAAACAATAAAGCCAATTCTCATTTATTCCTGGCAATTTCGTTCCATAAAGTCTCCGCAGACCTCAGTTAGTGAATACAAGATCATTGCTCCTAGGAGAAATACAGGATTGGGTTCCTGCCAGCCTCGGGTCAGAACAGTTTCATCAACAGATCAATACATAACCTTGTTTTATGTGTGTTTTTGTTTGAAGACACCGTGTTTAATACATAATGTTGATTCATTAGCACTGATGCACAGCCAATAGCTCTGGAACGCATGCCTGAATGAAGTTTATCTAACTCAGGTATATTCTCCGGAAGGTACTTCATGGCCTTCTCACACTTAGGAATGCTAGACAGCATTTCAGTAGCATATTTGCGGCTAGTTTGAATACTGCCATCATCAACAGAAAGCACCTCAAAAACGTGAACAACATGGCACTAAACAGACCCTGAAAAGGATTCTTGTTTACAGTTTGAGAGCTGAAACAAGAAGGCAGAGCATGTCCTCGCTCGACCTCGGCAGGAATTTGCGCACAGGGAAAGTCAAATTTTTGCCACTCTGCACATGCACATGTCTGCAAACGATCATGAAAGTGCCATGAGGGTTGATTTTGGGGTCATAAATAAATTTTAGGGAGTAGGTGAATTTGCAAATACAGAACACACAAACGAGGACTGACTTCAGCTTGAAATGAAAATGCCTTGTATGGAAGCAGAACAGCTCTTAGGAAGAACCTGATGCCCTTACTTGACCAGTTATTGTTTTACTAACCCTCTTGTGTTTAAGACAGAAGAGGTGAGCCTTAGGGTCTTCTCCATGTGGTTAGAGAACCGGGCAGCAAACCTGCTGTATTGCATGACAAATGGAGGAGTTTCTTTGATTTATTCATTCATTAAACACTCCCTGAGGGGCTCCATTCACACTCTGGGTTCTTTCTACACTTGGTCTCCAAGACATTGCCTAAGAAAGGTGGCCCTAGTGCCTTATTTTATGTAGCACAAATTTCTTGAGGAGTCAGGGGCATGTCTGTGTATAGTACTTAATTTCTACTGATGGGAAAATGGTTTATGGGAAAAAAAGTTTATAATTACAAGACTGGGATAATTATTTTTGTGATATCTTACAACTGGAGCATGCTTTTGCTCACGATAGACATTAGTTTCATTAGTCTCTGAAACCTCAGTAAGAGAAATTGAACAGGTATAAACAAGTGGTTAAACACCTTTTCATTTGCTTTAAGCAAACAGTTTAATTAACCCAGTACACAACCCTTCACTTGCTCCTAGCAAACCTTCAGAGGTTCAGAATGGCCTGCACCATGGCAATCCACGGGGGAGAGATTTCTTAGTGATTGGTTTTTTAATTGTATCTTTTTCCTACTGTAAATCAATGTAATATTATAAAATATGCCATATTGACAAATGCTTTGTTTTATATTTATTACCACCGTAACTTATAATCTGTCTTTTGAAATGCAGACATTCAACAAGCTTGTGGGAAAATTCAGCCAGTCAGTCTTTCATTTGAATTTAACACAAATACTCTCAGCAACAATGGAAGGGAAGCTGGTTGTCTGGGACATACACCGCCCGCCATCCTCTGCCTCCGCCTTGGTGGGCTCTCCTCACATTAAACCTTGTAAATTGGTTCATTTGCAGAAAGAGGGCATCACTGTGCTCACTACAGTTGATAGGTAATTAACTTAGTGAAAAAGTAGCTCTCAGTGATTACCAAAGTATATTAAAAGCCTTTCGGATGTACACATATATTTTGTATATGCATAGAATATTTCTGGTGAAATTCATTATTAACTGGGAATGTTTGCTGCCTCTGAGGAAAAGAACAGAGAAGTAGGATCAAGGGTCAGGATGGATACACCTCTTCTTGTAGTCTCATTTGTACTAATTGGTTTGCCTTTCTTTTTTTCTTTTAATCATGGGCATGCATTACTTTTAAAAATCCCTCTGTGTTAGTGAAACAAAAAGAAACTTGTTTTTTTCTTCCACACTAATTAGACTTATTTTGCACCCTAAATGTTACATACTTTAATTTTAAGAAAATAACGTGAATAGCTATATTGTTTTTTCTGATTACAAAATAACACCCATTATGAAAAGATGAAATACAACAGAACTTTATAAAGTTTACTGACTCAAGAGGCTGTGGGGGCTCAGAGAGGGTCATTAAAAGCCTTAGTCTCAGACAGAAAAGGGTTCACATCCCTTCCTTGCTGAGTGACTCGGGGCAAGGGATTTAACTTGGCTGAGCCTCCATTTTTCCATCTGCAAAATGGGCATGACCACACTCTCTCTCAGAGTGATTTTATGAGGATTTTGTGAGGCAAGCCATGTAAAACTCATAGTACCTTGTCTGGCACAGGGGAGCTCTAGATGAAATAGTCCTTATTAGTATGTTTGAGAAGTTCCCAATAGGGATGGAGGACGCTGCCTAATGACAGGGACCATGCGCATGTAGTTGGAGTCACTGTGCCATCTGCTTTCCAGAAGCCCTGCTTTCCTTTTCATTTCTTTTAATACAGGAAGCAGTGATGTCCTGGCATGGCTTTACAAAGAGAAATGCAAATTGTCCTCACTCAGGGGTGTGGAAAAGACAATAGTAGAATTGCAGCTGATGATGAATCAACCTTTAATTAGTTGGGGGGGTTAGGGCCCAGTAAAGACTAAGGCCTGGGTTCCCCCTCTCTCCATGTTAAATAAAACCCAGCCAGGACCAGGGAGCCCATGAAGGGTCTTGAAAACACTTGGCCTGTTTTGCCGCTTCTGTCCAGCAGAGGGCAGTGAAAGATGCTGTAGCCAATTACTCTGCCTACCTGCCTTGCTTATTAATCGGAAACTGCATTTAATCACTTTGCATCTATAAGAGGAAATTCATCCCCCTATCCCCCCGTGATTACACTTATGTCAGAGGCTTAAAAAAAAAAGCCCGTTTGGGTTGGATCCGAGGACTGGAAATAAAAGGCATTTTGTCACGCGACACGGCCTTGGGTTTTGCCGTGGCTCTGAGAGCAGTGCTTTCCTGTAAAGCTGCTTGCGTGCCGCTGCCTGGCTGTGTGGTTTCGGAGGGCTGGCAGATGGGCTCTGGTGTCCTCCGTGGGCTCCTGGCAGAGAATGCCAACACCGCCCACTGCCGCTGCACGGGGCTGATCTGGGAGGGCAGGGAGAGGAGAGCGAGAGTGTGTGCTCTGCGTTAGGTGCACCTGGATCCCCGCACAGACTGGCCACGGGCCCATAGCCTTGCCCCGTGTGAGTCGGTCCCGTGCGATATTTGGGACATACTCCTACTAAAAGATTACTCATTGCTTAACTGAAATTCAAATTTCCTGGGGCATCCTGTATTTTTATTTGCTAAATCTGGCAACCCCAGGCCTTGAGCAACTTCTCTGAGCCTCAGTTTCCCAGATGTAAAGCGGAACAACAGTAAAATCAGCCTCATAGGACAGTGTTAAGTGAAGTTTTTACAACACCTGGATTCCAAGCCTGACATATAATTAGCTGTTCAGTAGTTGGTACCTACTACTGTTAGTTACCAAACGATGTTTTTTCCATTTCAGCTATATTGTCACAGGTGATATTAGAGGCAACATTAAGTTCTACGATCACACCCTGTCCATTGTTAACTGGTACAGCAACTTCCAACTGAGCTCCATAAGGACCCTGTCGTTTTCAAAGACCCCAGCAGCTCCGCCCACTGAAAAATCAAACTATCCTCCAGACTGCACTTTAAAAGGTGACCTTTTTATTGTAAGGTAAGTTGTTAATGAATCTAGTCATTTGAATGGCCAACAAATGATTGATGTCCTCTCTGTTAGTCCGCACGCAGTGGAATGTTCACCTTGTTCCCGGGACACGAGCTAGAACAGGATTTCCTCGGAGGTCCTTTATGGGGCTCTCAGATGGATCTCCACAGCTGATTATAGTCACTGTTCAATCATTTTTTAAAATGAAGCATTATTTTCTTTTAAGAATCTTTAGCAACTGGAAACTGGAAAGGGCTTATCCCTGAGCTCTAATCTCTGTTGTGTTTGGAGTCCTTTGCTGTAGCTTGGTGTCTTTTCTTGAAGCCGAGTTTGTCCTAGCGCTGCGGTTAAAGGCATTTGATAATTAATAGCCATAACATTTCAAGACTGAATTATCTGTGAGTCTGCTTAATTACCCTTGCAGTATTTGCAGGCACATCTGTATGTGTGCACCCAACTCCATATTTGCATACACAAATGAATATTTGCATGTGCAGATTAGCTAATTGTACAACTGACTGTCCATCTGCATACTTAATGACTCAATTTACATGTAGAAATGTGGGCTTTTTCACTTGCAAATGGAGGCTGTTGGATATTGGTAGTGTATTTTTGGAGATGTTGGGTTAATAATGTCACTAAATTACAGACGACAGAGGCGTTTCCTGTGCAATTAGAAGCAGAATAGCTGACGTGCCCCATTCCCTGCAAACACTGATACTGTTGGGTCTCTCCTTGGCAAACAGGAATCTTATCATTGGAACATCTGATGCAACAGTGTACCACTTAACGACAGATGGGACCAAACTTGAGAAGTTATTCGTGGAGCCCAAGGATGCGATTTGTGCCATCTCCTGCCATCCATACCAACCCCTCATCGCCATTGGGAGTTTCTGTGGGATGATCAAAGTGTGGGATTATGAAAAGAAAAAGTACCTTTTCAGCAGGGTCTTTGAGAAGGGGCTTGGCGTCCAGAGTCTAACCTACAATCCTGAAGGTATTTTCATTTTATCAGCCTATCTTGGGCTCCAAGAAAAAACAGACCCAAATGGCTGTGCCCTTGGAAGTTTACCTTGACCGCTGTCCCCACAGCCAGCTAGATGAGACACCTGTCCCTCGGGACCCTGCAGCACTCCGTGCCTAGTAGTGTCTGAGCACCCACCCCAGAGCCTCATGCTTTTCCGTTTATTTCTCCTGCCAGGGTCCCGGCCTGTCATGTTCATTGCTGTCTCCTCAGCACCTAGAACAGAGTCTGGCCCGAGAGTTGATGTTTTCTGAAGGAATGAAGTCCTTTTTAGAGCATTGTTCTCTGGCTTGTGATTTCAGGAGCCCTTCTTGGAGCTGGCTTCACTGAGGGGACAGTTTATATTCTTGATGCAATGTCCTTAGAAAACCAAATCCCAGAGCCTTTCAAATATTCCAGAACCAATGTGACTCATATCAGCTTCTCCCATGACTCCCAGTACATGGCAACTGCTGTGAGTGTTTCCACTGGGTGCTGTCCTGTGATCTAGCAATCTTGTTTACGACCAAAAGGGAGGGAGGGCTGGTGGAGGTGTGGGGAGGCGGGCGCAGTGGGGGGATGGGGAGTGACTGCTAGTGGATTTGGGGTTCTTTCTGGGGTCATGAAAATGCTCTAAAATTGTGGTGGTGAGCTCTGTGAATACACTAAAAACCACGGGGTCGTACACTTTAAAGGTGTGAATTGTGTGCAGTGGGAAATGTATCTCCACAAAGCCACTGTAAAGAGAGGAGGGACTCTCGCTCGAAATGAGACCAGGCCTCAGGACTTGCAGACTGGAATTCTGCCATCCTGACAGCTCATTTTGGTGTGTTGGTTTCTGGACCCCTTCCTTGGCATCTGTTCTTTCATCTTTCCCTTTGATTTTTGACAAGATGACATTCACATTTATCTCAAAGCACCGTCTTCCCCCGGTGTTTTGGATTCTGTTCCTTCCCTCTGTGAATAGGGCTCCTAAGCTCAGTAAAGATTTTCTGAGACCTTTAGCCTCTCCCTTCCTGCCAGCTCTCCTGGTCTGCCGTGTGCTCATCTCGCCTTGATGTTGGCCGAGGGGAAAGAGCCACAGCTGCTTCCCACGTCCCTGCTGCTCCCCCACCCCCGCCTCTGTGCCCGGTGCCTCCCCTGGTCTGTGTGCTCCACACCTTTACAGGCCCGCCGCTGAGCCTCCTCACCCCTGCGGCTCCTGACCCAGGTACCCCTTTCCCTTCGGGCTGCTCTCGCACACTCTCCCACCCAGCTCACTCTCAGCCGTGATACTTTTTAGAACTCATACCTTTTTCATTTTGTGTAGCTGGATACAGAGTAGGGAGGACAAAGGCAAAAAGAGTCAGGGTTTCAGTTTTCCACACAGAATGAGGTGGGGACTGGAAAGAAGCGCAAGACCACGGTGTCAGGTAGATGCTTTCTACCCCCCCCTTACCTTTGTGGGTTATCTACTTTTAACCTTAATTTTCTCATCTGTAAAATGGGTGTGATTTTTTTACTTGCTCAGATAGACTAAAATTTCTTTTTGGATAAAATATTCTAAAGGCAACATTAGTATGAAAAACATGGTGATGATTTTTAAGTTACAAAACTTAAAAAGGAATAACTTCTGCTCTTTGGCTCCTATTCAGGATGTACACTTTACTGTGGCTGTTTACATGGTGGTAGTCAAAAATGGACACCGGGTTTGGGAATATCTGGCAAGGCTTCGTTCTCATCGCAAAAGCATCCGCAGTCTCCTGTTTGGGGTTCATCTGGACAGCAATGAGCCGAGACTGCTGAGCCTCGGGAGAGACAGGCTCTTGGTGAGCTGTTCAGTGTCCATTTACCCTGCCACCGGGACAGTGGGTGTTTCATTCTTGTTGTGTTCCTGGCATCTGGCATAGAACCGGGCCCAAAGTCTGGGTGCTTGTTGGAGAAAATGAACGTACAATGAGGTAGCATAAACCTTTCTGAGTCAACACTTGGTCTCAAGGATGTGCAAAAGCAATACTCCTTTCAGTAGAAAATGCACTTGGCATTTTGAATTTGGGTCTTGTCCCATCCTCTCTTGTGATGCTGTGCAGCGGCCACAGTTCCCTGTCAGCCACGCAACCACGAGGCTCAACAGCCAGTTCACTGACCGCCACCTGCACCCATATGGCCCTTCTGTTTGTCACTCTCAGCACAGAATTCAATAAATTACACGGGATAGTCAACACTCTATTATAAAATAGGCTTCGTGGTGGGTGATTTCACCCAACTGTAGGCTCATGTCCGTGTTCTGAGCGTGTTTAGGGTGGGCCAGGTTAGGCTATGGAGTTTGGTAGGTTAGGTGTATTAAATGCATTTTTGATCTATGGTATTTTCAACTTACAGTGGTTTATTGGAATGTAACCCCATCATGAGTCAAAGATCTGTATCTATCCATCTTAACTTTGTTCCTCGCTCCCTCTCTTTCTTCCATCCCCTTCTGTCCTGTATTATGGCCATCCAATCATCCATTCATTATGGGCTGGCCACCAAAACCTACCTATGGATGAAATTCAGCAAGGTGCTGATTTATGACTGTTAAGTGATGAGATTTAGGTATGGATTAGTTCCTACCCTCAAGGAGTTCCCAAGATAATGGTAAGGGAGACGTTATAACACAACTGTGAGAGTTCAGGTTTTGGAGTCTGTTTGGACCCAAATTTGAATTCTCACCCTACCACTTCTTAGCTGTGTGACCTTGGGCAAGCCACTGAACCTCTCTGAACATCTGTTTTCTAATCTGTAAAATGGGCACAACAGCATGACTTGGCAGGGGAGTCAGGAGTGTTAAGTGGCATCATGTTTTTAGAGCACTTAGCTCATTGTCTTTGCTCAGAAGGAATGCTCCATCATGGCAGCCTATGAGGAGTGAGGGTCTAGGCAAGTCTTCCCTTAGGAGGACCAATACTGTCTCTCCCAGAATAGGACTGTTGGCTGCCTTCCTTTGGCTCAGTCCTCATGTGTGTCTATCTGGCCTCCTCTGCAGATTGAATATAATCTTCTCAAGAGCTACAGAGACAACCTGGAGGTCCTGGACATTCACCGCACCGACCAGGGCAACTATCCCACCTGTATGGTCTGGTACCCACCACTCACCAAGGAACTCTTCCTGCTCATTTGCAACAGTGGCTACAAAGTGAAACTTTTTAATTCTACCACCAAAATGTGCAGGTAAGCATGAGGAGCTTCCCGCTGATGTGATACCTAGATCAGTTTCTCCGCCCCCGGCTTCTTTTAAGTCCCAACTTACAGACCTGAGAGCAGCTTGGCTACCTTTACTATCACTCACTATGCAGGGGAGGAAACCAAGGCACAGAAGAGTTGAATAATTCTCACCCAGGGTCACGTGGCTGGGAAGTTGCCAGAGGCAGGAGGCAAATCCAGAGCCCAGCACTGCACAGAGATGAGGGACCCAGAGCTCAGTGCCTGAGACCCAGGAAAGGAACCCGCAAAGTCGCTGATGCTTTATAAACTCTCCCATCTTTCTCTCGTGGATAAAAAAAACATATATATTCACTTGAAAATTACCAATTGTGCGATTTTTTAAAAAAGATTTTATTATTTTTTTAAGGTAACGTCTATGCCCATTGTGGGGCTCAAACTGAATCCCAATATCAAGAATCACATGCTCGCCTGACTGAGCCAACCAGGTGCCCCTAATTGTGCGATTTTCCTTACTCTGAGCTCCTAAGGGAGTTTTTAAGTTTACCTGATGGCATTCACGTGTTCACTCAGTATTTACCCAGCCTCTACCTGAGCCAGGTTCTGTCCGAGGTGCTGAAGGTAGGGATGCCAACGGCAGTGTTCCTGCCGCCATGGAATTTGCATCTTGGTAGGGGAGTGGAGTTTGTGGGAGAGGCTGGGCTGAGGTCCACATTTGAGGTCAGGAGCACATGGTACTTTAGAGTCATGAGACAAGAGAAGATTCCAGAAGGGAAAAGCAGATAGAAGAGTGGCCGAAGACCAAGCCCAGGGCATCCAAAGCTCCACATCTCTGAGCAGTAGCTCCTCTGTCCTGAAATAGGTCTACGTCTGTGGCTGGCCCTTGTGCTGCTAGGCCCGGGGCTCCCCGGGTTTGCTCCTTGTGATAGATACAGATCATGGTACATCATCCTTGCACCGGGGCTCTGCATTCATCTTCAACAACCCACCCTCCCCCCCACCACCACCAAGTAGTATCCCACTGAGGTTCAGAGAGGTGACAGAACTTGCTGCTCAGGATGGGGTGGGACTTAACCCTTGAGCCTAGTTCTGGCTCTGTCCTCTACTTGGCACTACTGGGCCCAGGTGCAGCCCTGGCCGTGGCTCCTACCTAGTCAGCCCTAGAGGGCATCCCCTCTCCTCCTGTGGTTTGGCTGCCTTGTGGGTATGTCTGGAAAGAACAGAGGCACTGAGGCTGAGCAACAGGTGAGAATGCATTAGTGACCTCACCTGAGAGAAGGAAGTGCGAAGCCAACAGTAGCTGGCCCCACGCTTGAGGAAGACCGGCGTCATGAAATGTTTCTCAGAAAGATAGGTCCTCAAAGGCCAGGATCACCCAAGATCATCATCATAATCTTCTTCTCTTTTAAACATTTGTTTGCAGAAGGGTACAAGGAAAAATGATTGAGAAATGCCATGTCATGTGGCAGGAACAGGGGAGAAATCCAGCACAATTTTTTTTTTTTAATATTAAAACGCTAGGAAGGAGACATTTGAAAGAAATAGGTACAAAAGAAATTTTAGGGAGATCTCAGAATCTTCATACATCATCTTTAATGGATACAAACTTTTTGGATATTGAATATCCCACAGATATGCAAGTCCGGAGTAAATCTGAGTTCACTGAGCAGGTAGATTGGGGATGAAGGGCCCCAGGCTCCAAGTTCCCACTAACAGTTACTAAGCAGGGACTTCAAGCCACATAATTTGGAGTTTCTGCCCCTGACAATTGGAAATTAGCATAAGGCATCTTTTTGTTTTTATTTTATTTTATTTTATTTTTTATTTATTTATTTTTTTTA